ATGTGATTATTGTATAGCATTTGTGCTGGTGCATTCCTTGCGCTAGTCCTAGCTGCAGATGCAGTGTTTAAAAATAACTGTCCTGCAGGAAGAAACAGTGTATTTAATGAGTGCTTATGTAAGATGGATCACTGTTTGGATTCATTAACTTTTAGATGCCAGCACAAACTAGCACAAAAACATGTCCCTGCAGCCCACCATCATTCCAGCCAGCAGGTGTGGGCTTACCAGCTCTCACAATACAAACCCCTGCAGAAAAGGATTAAACCTGCACCGGAATCACAATAACAGCAAATTCCCAGTGCATAACTGCAGACAATCTTCTAAGAATTTGGGGAAATTAAACTTATATTGTGTTTTTCCAAGTAAAACTGACTTGGCTGTTTTCTTTCGTCTGAATGGTCTGTCGATATAGGATAAAAGTTCTGCAAGTGTGCATGTGAACTGGCAAACCTAAGACATTGATTCACAAGAAGCTATCCTGCAAGAGTGAGCACGCTCAGATCAAACAGCATAACTAATGAAGAAAATATTCTCTTGACAGGCATCTTATCATATCCGGCAGCCTTTGTTTTCGACATTGCTACAGAAATGAGAAGAACTAAATCACATGGAAATATACAGTTATAAAATAGTAATGTGCTATAAATACATTAACAGGTGCTTTTGGTGGTCAGATTACAATCGGACAGCACTTGAATACATTTAAAGTCGAGTGTAAATCAGATTGTGCGTGGATCACTGAAAACACCTTCGGAGAGATGGTTTCTGGTTTTAATTGACGAAGTATAAACGCCACAAGGTATAAATGCAAATTCATTTTGATTAAAGCAATATCTAATGATCACATTGATTAAATAACATATAATGAGGTGTTGTTACAAATAATAATGATCAATCACTTTGATGGACTAGGTTGTACATTTTTTTCCATCATGCTCTAAAATATATATTTATATATCGCAAAATATGAAAGTCAACAGACACTGAGGTCTTGTAATCTGCTCGCCCAATTTACAATACAACAATATCCCATAAATGATTTCAATCGATTACACTTAAAATCTTGAATTTCTCTCCCCAAATTCTTGCTCGTGTTTCCGTCATGATCCGATTTTTGTTTGCAGGAGCCCTTTAAAATGAATCTTTTTCTTATGATATAATCCCTATTAGCAATCCCTATTATTATTATAATCCCAATTATTTTTTACCGGGATTATTATAATCCCTATTATTATTATAATTAAATATTATAATCCCTATTTTTTTTTTACCGGGACAGTACAATAGAACATATACTTTATAAAAAAAATGACTGTTTTACTGTAAATCATTTTTAAAAAAATTCTGTAAATGGCAGAAAACGCAATATGCAAGAGCTGTTTTCCTAAAGAATGGATAAGTGCAAACAGACACATTTGAATGCAGTTCTGCTAAACAATATCCATAAACTATCTGGATAGGAAATGCATGCGAATGCCAAGTGTCAGTGGGGCAAAGTGTTACCACAGAGGTGGCATTTTGAGTACCTCTTCTGATCTGGGGGGCATGTCAGTCAGTGCTTCTTGTGCTGCAGCATCTGCAACAAAGATTTAGAGATAAGAGGCCAGTATTACTGAATACATTCACTGAAGTTCAAAAGACAGAAAACAGAGCATTGTATCACCCCATGCTAAATTTTGCACTGAGCAAAACGCTGAATCCTGGGAAGCCATAGATTCTTCTAATGGATTTGAGGTTTATTACATGCTATGCATAAATAGAGTGCACATCAAAAAGTATATGATAGGAAGGCACCAAAGTGAAACATCATGTCGCATGGTTTATACTTACAGTTCTTCAGCTGGTATTCAATAGCTGCTTTCAGATTAAAGGCTTCAATCAAAGCAGTTTCATGAAGGACCAGGGTGTTGCCGACACTTCTTACATCAATGCCTTCTGTTGTCATTCCAATACTGAGTTCTATAGACATACGAATCATTCACTGAAATTAACAGTTTAACATCGAACATCTTAAAAGATTTTCTGTTAGACATACCTGGATGCTCTCTGATTCCACGTTCAATAATTTCCGCAATATATTTGAGTGCTGAAGCGTACTGCTTTAAACTATAGTAACAGAGTGCTATATTGTATGCCAGATCTGTAACAGAAAAAAACAATCAGACATAGTCCAGCACAGCTAGTTTTAGAAAATATCACACTGTGGTTTCCACAAAAGGTTTCCATACCGCATTCATTTCCACAAAAATCTAAATTACTACCTTTACGCAGTGTGGTCAACCAGTCAATGTTATGTTTTGTTATTCTCAGCAAAAAAATAAAAAATACTGGGAGAGACCAGTTTGTGCGTTTCTCTGTTTTGTCTATTAAGTTCCTGCATGGAGACACCACAAACACACACAGTTATAATTAACGGAACCAGTGCTAAAGAAGCTCATGCTCACCTGGCTGGTAGCCCAGGACGTTCATGGAGGACATAAACTTTTTGCAAGCCTCTTCATACTCGCCCTCCTTATAAAGCAAACACCCGAGATCCACATCGTAGTCTGGATCATCCTGAGGCAACTGCTCAACCAGAGTCTGGAGAAGTAAAACCAAATATTCCAACAAAATAAACAGTCGTTCATGTGGTCAGATGGTGATTCATTTTCCACATGGAAGAAGGAGAGGGTTTGGAATGGAATGAGGGTTAAAAAAAATAATGGAAGAAAGGAAGTTGTTACCTTTGCTCCCGAAAAATCTTCCTCTCCATATTTAATGGCAGCTTGCAGTTTGATCATCTGTTTAGAAATAGGATGAATATTGAATAATGATCTTTATTTTTTTTAAATCCTATGACTTTTAAAGGTATACAGTGTGACATGTTATGATCTTCACAGTAGACAAAAACAAACTGTTATTTTGACTGACTGTTGTTTAGAAATGTGCGGTCAGTAAGATTTTTATATTGTTTTTAAAAATAAGCTCCTTATGCTGCATTTATTATTTTTTTTTTTTTAATGGGGTTGCTCCTCTGATCTTTACAGATGTTGAGCTTCTTTGTGATTTTAATCACTCATGATAAATCTTAACATTAAATGCAAAATTTACCATGAAAATCTAGAATACCTTGTAGGAATCCCAGAAATGTGGAGACACATTTGTGGAATACTCCTCAAAAAAAGGCACCAAAAATACACAATAAAAATGCTAACTAGCCAGCTTCGAGATAGATGGTCACATCTAATTTGATGCCCCAAGCAACTCAATAACCTGTACTGCAAAACAGTTTTAATGGTCTTTGCAGATGGGACAAAACTTAATAAGTGTGTTACCTTAGTATGACTAGCTGTACTGTCTAAGAGAAAAGTAGCCTTCATGGCCTCTGGGAATGCACACGCTCCATATAGAGACTGGGCATAGTAAAGTTTGTAGTCTTCCACCTCTGGGTGAAGCTGTGTCAGCTGTTCATAACACTCTGCTGCATTAGTGAAGTCCTGCATGTGATAGTAGCAGTAGCCTAGGAGAGACAGAGCAGCCCTGGACTGGACAAACAGAGAGAGATTGTCAGATCAAATATCAGTATACTATTGATAAAGGAATATATATATATATATATATATATATATATATAATTGGTCAGCAAAAGAGAGCACAACTGGAAGCAAAGGACGTTTGATTCAATGTAAAGAATGAGTCCAGTTTGACTCCTGTAACTTACTTTAGTGTGCTTCTGATGTTCCTTGCTCAGAATATGAATTGCGTCTCCATATCGCCCTTCTTTTATCTTATAAAGAAATAAATAAGGATTAGTAAAAAGCCAATCATTTCGATAAAACGACACACGCTTCGCTAAATGCAAGCAAACAGCTTATAAGTAAGTGGTAACTAAGCTAACGTTAGCCTGTTAGCTTGTGCAGCTAATCACTGACCATTTTGTACACGGTGGCCGTGTATTCGCCGTCTTTAATCGCTGTTAGCGGCATTATCGAACACAATCGCTACATGTACCTGTAAGTTATCCCATAAACAAAAACGTTGAGATTAATAAAGTTAAAGATGCAACCTTCTGTGCTCTCAGAGACACACGACGCAACAGTCCTGTCGCTTAGCAACCGTTTCAAAACGGATGTGACATGTACATTATTCTGCAGAGGCTGAAATACATCTTATTTGTGCTTAAATCTTTTTTATCATAACATAGGGTATTGGAATATGCTTTGAATTTCTTCAATTTTATGTAGCCTAGGATATAAACAATTATACACAAACAAAACTTTTACACAAAAATTCAAATTAGACAGACGTTTATTTATTTGTTTGTTTGTTTGTTTGTTTGTATGTAGGTATTTAACGGCATGCCAGCTTCTGTGGCATTTTTCATGTTTTCATGCGACAATATCAGGTTTTAATCATTTATTTTTGCTAAAAACTCTCAAACTATATTTCAATACAGACTTTAAAAATGAATGTGGCTCCCTTTATAAATCTCTACAAAAAAAAAATAATAATAATAATAATAATAATGTGTAAAAAAAAAACAGCAGCAAACAAACATAAATAAGAGCAAAAAAAAAAAACCCATGAAATACATTTTCCTTTTTTTTATTGTTTCACACTTAATACAAACTTACATATTACTTATTATATGGCAATTACAGAACACACTCTAAAAGTGACTGCTAATTTTATTGGTTATCCTTACAGAACTCTTTGAACCTAAGGGAGAGTTTTGATATTCAAATCATAGTGGCTTGCTCCTGCAAGCTAAGTGTTTGGAAAAGATGTATGTGTGTGTGTGTGTGTGTGTGTGTGTGTGTGTGTGTGTGTGTGTGTGTGTGTGTGTGTGTGTGTGTGTGTGTGTGTGTGTGTGTGTGTGTGTGTGTGTGTGTGTGTGTGTGTGTGTGTGTGTGTGTGTGTGTGTGCGTGTGCGCGTGTGCGTGTGTGCGTGTGCGCGTGTGCGTGTGTGTGTGTGTGTGTGTGTGTGTGTGTGTGTGTGACGAGGGAATGTTTTAAAACAGGAGGGAGTGTTTTTCAGTTTTGGGACAGACTGGTGCAGCTACCCAGACACAGAACTGCAGGGCCACTTGAAAAGAGCTCACATCTTACCAAACTCTCTGACTGGTAAGTAAACATTCGTATTTAGACCTGCATAATTTTATAATTCCAGAATCTAGACTGTTTAGGCTCTTCGTATCAGTTGAAATGAAATCAAATGTCATATTTAAAACTTTTTTAAATGCATTTTATATTCTTTGTTTTAATATATATATATATATATATATATATATATATATATATATATAGAGAGAGAGAGAGAGAGAGAGAGAGAGAGAGAAAGAGAGAGAGAGTTTATTTCATTTTTATTCTATTTTTACATGCACGTTGTTTTATAAAATGTAGCTTTCTTACAGACCATGAAGAAAATTTCATGCACAGCCATCAAGCAAGTCTGCACAGATTGTGCCCTGAAACCAAATACAGTGTTTATGCACCAATATTACTTTTAGGATTAAGATTAATAGTGAGTTTAGCACAGGGCTTGATTTATCTCTCAGTAAACATACATCATCTGCTTAGAGTAGAGGAAAAGACCGGGGCAGTCATTTCAAAATTTTCTCAGGGAAGAAATTTGCTCTTTTTTTTTTTTTTTTTGGTTGTAGGCTACTTGTGCAGGAAACATCAAGAACTATGAGTTTCAAAGTGAGCCTGTTGTTCCTGACCATGACCGTGGTCGTAGTCTGTGGTCAGAGGAGACGAATTGCAAAAGAGGAGTGGAACTACCGTGACGGCTGTGAGCGGATGTCTTTTTGTTCAATAAAACACTGGTTCATTAATGCATTTAGCTATATGTTTTGCTGCTATGCTATGGAGTATGGTTTCACAATTTCTTGGTTCATATCAACCTAAAAAATACCGGTAATATTACTGCTGTTTCGTCTGATAAAAATGTAAACTATATTGCTGTTCGGTTCCTCAGCTGAGAAAGTAAGCATGCGAGGAGTAGCAAATCTGACTGAAGTGCTTGATGACTGGAGGTTTGACATCCTGAGCCAAGTTAAAGGACTCCTGCAGAATGACCATCAGTCTTTGCTGCCTGACTACTCCAGGTAGACTTTCATGAGGTTCAATTCTTTCTTTCCACAGATAGAAAACAGTAAGAACACAACATTGTTATTTTGGTATCTGCAGTTATGTTAAAATGTGGACTGTGTTCTTTTTTAGAGCTGAACATTTCATTTTTCTGGAAATTAGCAAAATGTTTTATGTGTTTAATGGGGAACTTCCTGGCTCATTATGGTTAGGAAACTAGTCAGCTTCATATTCCTCAAAGTACTTTTCCAACCAGCGACTGTGCTATAGTGTTGTTGCTTCTCATATTTCTTTCTCGCTTTAACTCTACCCAGGATCCAACCTCTCTCTGAGGCGCTAGATGACTTGTACAAGGAGTTCAATGCCCTGAAAACTCGTCTTGGTGAGCTGACAGAGAAGTTTGGACCATTGGAAACCTTTGTCGATGAACTGAAGACAGAGAGGGCAAGTGCGAGCGCAGCGCCTGCTAACCCGGTGCGCAGACGGGTCGTTAAGAAGATGCCTGTTGTCTCCTAAAAAGCTCTGCGCTTGAGTAGAGCTGGATCTCTCTTAACAGCAAACGACTATCATATAGATTCGTTTCGCAGTCTTTCTATGAGCTTCTCACTCTTTTGGCATCTTGTTGCTGTATGTTGCTGGGAAACAGGTAATAAACACTATGCTGAACTGAATGTCCCTCCATGGTTTATCTGAAAGCAGCAATTTAAAATGTGACAGCCTGGTCATAATTAACGTAGCAAAAATATAATGGACACGGCTGTTACCACGGTGCTTATTTTTAGAATCATTATACTCCTAATCAAAAATGAACAAATATATGAAGAGTTCAGATGCAAAAGCCTCTAAATGCCATTTTAAATGTTCTTCTTTATTGATGATTTTTATTAAACTTGTATATTTAAGTTCAGTGATTTCACTTAAATGACAATGATAATTACCTATTAATTGTTATTTAAGTGAAATTACTGAACTTAAATATACAAGTTTGATAAAAATCATCATTAAAGAAGAAAATTTCAAATGGCATTTAGAGGCTTTTGCATCTGAACTCTTCATATGCATGTGTTATTCAGCACAAGAGTATTACATTTCACTGACTTTTATCTGTATAGTTGTATATTCAAATATGCATGACTGTCAGTGAAGTGATATGTGCATTTGCAGCTCTCAAAATGATCAATGATTCATGCAGGTATAAACTGATTATGTACAAGCTAAGAACATTTCAGGAACAAAATAAATTGTGTTTTTCCCATTGTGTATTTATGCTTATAATCTGATGAGCATGGTAATTAGATGCTTAATATCTCCTGGCTCATATTTGCCATCTCATGTAAGCTATAATAAATTCAGTCTGTTGCATTCACTCCTAAGTTTCGGTGTGTTAGCTAACTTTTGACACTATCTATCTATCTATCTATCTATCTTTCTATCTATCTATCTATCTATCTATCTATCTATCTATCTATCTATCTATCTATCTATCTATCTATCTATCTATCTATCTATCTATCAAGAAAACCAGTCAGCATTAGACAAAAGATACATTTTAACATACATTTTAACATTATAACATACTTTATATATGAAGAGTTCAGATGCAAAAGCCTCTAAATGCCATTTGAAATTTTCTTCTAGAATGATCATTTTTATCAAGCTTGTATATTTAAGTTCAGTAATTTCACTTAAATGGCAATTCATAGGTAATCTTCATTGTCATTTAAGTGAAATTATGGAACTTAAATATATAAGCTTGATAAAAAATGATCATTCTAGAAGAAAATTTCAAATGGTATTTAGAGGCTTTTGCATCTGAACTCTTCATATATATATAATTAATTAAGTCAACCAGTGACTTAATTACTATAATTCAAAAATGTACCCCCTCATTAAAAAACGTATAAAAATAAGAGTCAGCGCTATCATTTATTGACTCTGTCACAGTTTTACTGTAATCAGAGCTATACCCACTCAACAGCAGAACTGCATACAGAGGCTTATACTAGTACACATTTGAAAATCAAAGCCAAATAATGATTTTCATTATATAGATTAAAAATGATCAAATCAAAAAGAGTAGTTTTATATTTTCTAATATAACGCAAAGACATTCCTTCATTCGTTAGATGTGTCTAAAGTGTCAAAATACATTTTGTGGCCCTAACAGGGCCTCATTTACAGTATGAAACGATTTATGCAAATTGTTCATAAAACCATTCTTACGTAAATTGTTGCATTTACAGTAATTCAATATATACTGTACAACAATTTTATGTATTTTTATTAGTTTTACAACTAATTTACACACAAATTCTGCTCGTGTTTCACAGACCAAAGACTGTGATGCTTAAATGTGACCACCAGGAGGAAATACAGTGTTGTGTCTCTCTGTGGGTATTTACAGTATTAAAAAGTGTTTAGGACACTGTGGCCATGAAGTCATGTACAGCTCAAATAATCCAAGAAATTCCAGAGTTACCATATCTTTTATGTCCGTTATGTCCAAAAGGAGCAACGCCAATGAACAACGTCATAAAAATATATTAAAATATCTGTACACCTGATTATAAAGATATCATAAATCATAAATCTCAGAAGGAAGTCGCTTACATCTTTGAAGATTTATGAAGCATCTCACTCAAATGAGTTCAGAAAAAAATGATTACACAGCCCTACATTGTATAATCATCTCTTATTCCCATAAGTGTTTGAGCTGTAAATTAGTTTCATGACTGTAATCCATCACTGGTGCAACAGAATTTGAAAGTTATTGAAAGTCTTGTGTGACTGTATCAAGAATTTTCCTTGGTTGCTTCTCAGCATTACATAAAACATTACCGTGGCACACAGACTAACAAAAATCTGGACATAGTTTATATTTAAAAAAAAAAAAAAAAATCCAGTCATTATATTCACTGTTTATTAAAAATAAATTAAGATGTTAGGAAGAGGGCTTTCAAGCATCAACCATGACTGACAAAACACAATAAAAGTAGTCCATTTGCGTTGCATGACATATGGGTTTGGGACAACATGTCATTGAGTAAATAATAGTATTTTTTAGGGCACTATCTCTTTAAGAATGTCCTAGTAATAAGTCTGGCTGTAGATAATCAGTTTATCAGAAAGTATTTCATATTAGAGATGTTTTAGTGAATTTTCCTCAGAGCTGCAAAGAACAATGAAACATGAGATATGTCAGACAAATTGCCCTGGAAATAACTCTACTTTCAGGAGCAGTGCTTTTGGTATCAAATGCTTTATTATTATTATCTGATGTACTTTTTAATTTAACCTTGAGTCATGGACCACTTACTTCATGCAAGTCTTCTGGGAAAATGTCCATAAGGGGCGTCTTTTATTGATTTCTCACTCATTTACAGAGAGCATTGTAAAACTGAGATGGCGATTTTAAGAAGTTGGGAAGGACAGTGACTGCAGTGGAATGATCTACAGTAGTTCCACATTTATTACTTCTGTTGAGCTCTCTAGTTTAATTCAAGGACAGTGCCCGGACATAGCCCTTAAAAAAGCACCTCCTACTGCAAGCTAAGTGAACTACAATGTATGCTTAAACGATCACTGAGGGTGCTATACTGAGTATGAGGGTCAATGGTCATAAATCCATAATAGATTCATATTGGATATATAGCATCAATGTAGTTGATTTCAACAAGCTATCAAGTAGACAAATCAATGCGTTTGAGATCATAAATTAATACCAAATTTAAATAATATTTTAACATAGCTTAAAATGCTTCCAAGATCAACTTGTCGACCGCAATCAATGGGTTGGTGATTCTTGTAACACACTGTTTTAGGGTCAATGACACTATAGTGACTTTTCCCTTGTCAGTGGTAAAATATGTAGTAGAGAGTATACTCACGAGGTCTATGGCTAGCTTCTACTTTCTGCTGCTTCTCTTTCAAGGTTGTGATGAAACGCGCTCTGTAGCGTTGTTTGTTCGCTGTCAGCTGCGGTAGAAACACGATGTCACAATATGTCGTCCTTCACAGAAGGGGGTGCCCTCGGTTATGTATGTCTCATTCTAAGGTAATAAAAACATACAGTTTATTAAGTGAGATCTTTATACATCACTAAAACATAGTTATGGATGTCATATTGCATTTCTGTAAATAGATACTCAAAATGTTTATACAGTGCACCTTTAACATTGGGTTATGGGTTAACATTACATGAAACTGTCATGTGGTCGGTTTTGACATTGGCTATCATGAGGCCATTATAACTGTCATGAATACTTCTCTTTACTTCAACTACAGTGGTACAAATCAAATTTGTCATTAAAATGTTATAATGGCCTCATGACAGCCAATGTCAAAACCAACCACCTGACAGCTTAATATTAACCCATAAAGCTAAGTGGTTTCTTAAGTTTGAACATTAATCTGCTATGTCGTGTTTATGACATATGACAGGTTCTGTTGTCTTAGTAATGTAAAGTTGTCATGACAAAGACACTGACAGGTTATGATTTATGTCAAGGTGTCATAACAAAGACATATCAAACAATGTCATATTTGCATAAAAAATGTCAAAATAGAGCAAATGACACTTAACACTAATTGTAATAAACATGACGTGTGTCATGAAGGTTTCAGGTCAGTCTTATGCACACCCCTTTAAGTCAAGTGTTACCGGCATGGCAAACCATTCAGCACAGTTTTTTTTTACTCCGTTTGCCCCATGAAGAGAAGCTTCATGCCATTCTTGGAAAATCTTCTTGTAAGTGGCGTGGTCCTTTCTTGGACATCTTTATGCAACGGTCAAACAGTGAAGCCGAATGAGAGAGGGCACATCAAAACAACAGCGACTGACATGCTTTAAGTCTTGACTGAGTTCCAATCAAAGTGCACATCTTGACCAAAGATTTAACAAGCTCTTGGAGACTGAGAAGTTAATCCAAAGATATTGGAGGTTTTACAACTGTAGACGCTGCCAAGAAGATACAATCTCAAGAATAATGGTAACTCATTTCCGGGTTCAACACCAAAGCAACAAACTGCAATAACCCTGACCTAAAAGGCCAAATCAAGAGCATTATTAGATTTTAACATCCATTTGAATGAGGAAAAGGGATTATTTAGAGAAATGCCTGGACAAACATTCAACATCTCTGACATCTGGGTTTGTGAGCATTTTGAATTTAATTGAAGAGTGCATCATTCTTGGTATCTGTGCCAGATGGATTCACTGTGGCCCTATGCAGAAGCTAAGAATGCTCCATTTACTGTTTACTGGCAGAGCATATGGGTGAACCTGTAGAAATACAGATGAATGGAAAACAAATAAATATGGTTTTACTTCCTGTCATTGAACTTGGGTAAGATATTTAACTCAGAACTACTAAAATGATGGGAAGGATAGTTCTATAAGCTTGATCTGTCATGCCATATGCTTAATGCCACATAACTGCATGATATTAAAAATAATAAAGTCCAAACACATATGGGATTTGACATGCAATAGATCAGGATTTCATTGTTATTTAATTTTAAAGGATCCAAAAAATCCTTAGCTATAGTAAAAAAAGAAGACAAACAAATATGCATTTGAGGATTTTTATGTAATATGTGACAACACAGATGTTTCATCAAATAGTACCATCTTTTATATGAAAAGAAAATATTGTATGCTGTACAGACAGATCAAAATACAAGTGAAATAACTGAAGTGAAAATGTAAAATACCACTTTTTTCAATATTGTAAACACAGTATACTGTAAGTTACTTTGTCTATTTTTCGCCAACAAAAACAAAGTTGCAAAAG